GTTGTTCCTTAATCTTGTTGTATTCTAAAAGAAAAAACAGTATCAGGTTTAAATTTAAATTTTCGGCTGTCTTCGTCTGTTTAATTTGCCAAACTAGGTAATTTTCAAAATAGTCTAAGAACTGTTCTAATATTTTTTTTTCATTTTCTGTTTAATAATTACTTTTAATACGCCATACGCATATAAAATTACTTCATTTGAATACGTCAAATGAATTTGTTGTTCGCAAAAAATATTGTTCTTTGATTAATTGTCGTTTACGAGCAATTGTTTTTCGATCAATTCTCGTGCGATCATTTGTTTTCGTTCAAATGACATTTATCTATCACCAACAATATAGCTATTGATAATCGGTATCGTTTACTATGATTTTGAGAACTTTAATTTTATTTAATAGATGATTTTAAAGAATTTAGTTTTTTTTTTATAGTACAATTTGAGAACATATTTTTGGGAAATTTTTAAAAAATTTACACTATATTAAATAATATATTTTATACCTTACATTTCTCTGCCACAGTAATCAATATACATTTTCGATAAACCTGCAATCAATAGTCGGAATGCGTTAATTTTAACGTCCACGAGAAATTCCAGAGTGTTGATATTTATCCACCGATAAATTATTGCGATCATTTTTGATGTTACGGTACGGATGACTATTATTTTCATATTGAAAACACGCCAATTAATAATAATTAAAAACGTACTAACAGCGACGGCAGTGATTGGTGAAAACGTATAATTAGAACATAATAATAATTATTAAGTGTAAGAAAATCACAAGATACTGTCGCAGAAAATGAATTTCTTACGAAGTTGTTAGTAATTATTATTACATTTTCCCGTATAAAAACAATATTCAAATAATATCTATTGAATAAAATGTATAGGGAGACCATTTCTAACGTGTCGATATTTTTGATAGATTTTTTAGAATCGTAAATTTACAATAAAATAAAATAGCGCAATACTATTGAATTCTGAATGTAGAAATTATTAGTTTTACTATATTGTGTGTTTTTTTTTTCGGAAAGTACTTTTCGGTTAAGAAAAATAATCATATTGTTTTACGCAATACCTTAAATAAAGTAAAATTGTGTACCCGGTGGTACTTTATTTGTACACTTTTTCTAGATTTTCGATAATTTTTTTTTTTCATATAAAAATCCAAAATAATAACAACATAATTCGTTGATATATATATTTATTGATGATAAATCGAACTCATATTTGTTAATTTTTGGATCATTTTGACTACCAGGAGAATAATACCTTATCTGCAGTTTAAAAAGCTTTGCTCAGAATCGTTTATGGATTGAAATTATCGTTTTTGGCGGTTTAAAAACTGAATTATGAATTACTTGAACTTTTTTGAAATTCCTATCTACGAAGTGGCCGACCCAGAGAGAAGTATGTTTATCTTTTTTAGATTCTAAGCGGAGTGAGGAATGTATTTATTTTAAAATAATTTTTATTTTATTTGTGAACAACTCTTGCTCCAATTTGCAAATATAGCACCTTGAAAACCATTTTTTGATTTTCCAATGGGTTTTCATAATAAATCGGAAAAACCGAGAAAAAAGGTAGGAAAATTGGAAAATTTACAAAATTAATTATTTTCGATTTTGTTTTTTGCTGTGATGTAGTTAAAAATATTCGTAAAAACTTAAATTTGTAGATTTGGACGGTTATATATCCCAACTTCTCACCTACAACAGTGGCTCATCCATTGTGTAAAGTATGTCCGTCTTTTTTAAAAATTGTTTTAATAATTTGTGAACATTCTATTTAATTCGGATTAGCCTGAATACAGTAAATCGAGAATAAATCTAATAATGTGCTCTCATTAAAACTAGTCCAATTTTATCGCCAAAGCTGCTGATCAACCTTTTTACAAGTCACATAGGTTATATTTTCAATTTTTTATCGAGCCCTGGACACCTTATTTTGTGCTTTTCTAAACAATTAGGGTTTCACATAGAGTCAAGTTCATCGAAAATGTGTTATATATTTTTGAGATTTGGTATAATATACTAAAATGTGCGTCATAATTTCGTACACATTTTATGTACTAAACAAATTCAAAGTATCAATTTATATATTGCATAATAATTATAATTGTCATTATGAATATTGATAATATTTTATGTACACAACTCGATTGATTTACCGTTCGATATATATCTCCGTTTCAAACTCAAAACTAACTCGTGGCAATTATCTTCGATATCTAATATTTATCGTTTATAGTGTTTTGATCGGTATTTTTATGTCATCGTTTATTGATTTATTTTAATACGCCGTGTAACGATTATTTATAAATATTGACATTTACGTTTTTCAGTGGAGGAGAGACCGAAACATTCGTCTGGTACCAACAGGAATCCGCCGGGATGTCAGACGAGCCGGAGGATATCGAGAACAAGCCGGAGAAGCAGTTCGATTGGCTGCCGGTCGCTGATGATTGGCAGACGGTCGTCCGCCGGGCTGCTGGCCTGGACAAGTTGTCAGGATCCATCCAGGGTAAATTTTTAATTTTTTGATTAATAATCTTCAGTTAGGTACAAAATGAACAAATTTAAAGTAAATAAAACCACAAAAACTTGCATTAAATAATTTAGTACCTATGTAAAGATAAGAATTTTTTTTGGAAATATTTTGTTATCATTGATATAATGGTTTTAGCAATCGGACATACGATTATGAATAAGTATGTTTACCAGCACAACGATTGTTCTATGACTGGAGTAATCGGATTTAGTTCCTGGTCCGAAGGCATAATAATTAACGTTAAATATACGCTTCGGACACAGAGGTGCATCGTTATCGGCCCGATAACGATGGGGGTTTCTTTTTTTTTTTTTACTTCTATGCCTCGAATGAAATATCTTTTTTAAGTAAAACACTGGTGCTGTTATAATATAAAAGTGAGTTCGTATAATTACCTATATTAATATAGCACAGTCGACGAGTTGTAAAAAACAGAAAGGCTCGTGAAACATAGTACGGTTAAATCGTTTTTTGAAAAACCAGTTTGAATATTGTTATTATTATTATGCTATTATATTCAAACTCGATTTTTAGAAAATGTTTCCCTATTTTTTCTATCCAATTTTGAGTGCACCGTGATTCGAGTTTGTGTATGTATTTTACGTGCAAAACTATATTATTTCATAGTAATACTCCCGAAGAAAGTCCCGAATAGAGTTCGCGAGTTTTGGAGACATTTGAATTTTGACAAGTTATTGCACTTAGACTAATTATCTTTAAGGTGAGAACAATTATAGAAATGTTTCTTGAAATATCTTAATAGTCTTTTTGGGAAAATCGCTAAATCATTTTTCGTATAGTTACTACTAGAATATTGTCAGTTAAGTTAACTAACAGTAATAAGAATAACTATTACAATTAGGATAGTTTACTATATTGATCTGCAGTAGTTTTTTCCCTAAGGTGACATTATTATCCGAAACGTCGCTTAATTATTATTAGTTGTATGGTAAAAAAAAAAAAAAATGGAAAAATAATCATTTTACCGACTTACCTGATTGAAATATTAGAACTTGCAAATTGTGCGCAAAATAAATCTTTAGCAGTTTACGTCCTTGAATTTTATCAGAGTAATTTATGATAAAAATATAAAGCTTTTATGTAAGAACGTTAACGGAAAATATGCAAAAGTATGAATATTACGTAAAACTAATATTTTCCGCTAATGTGCTCGAGAAATAGCGAAATAGACGGTGTCGGAAATACAACAACAATAAAAAAAATATAAAATAAAATATCAATGCATACCTTGTTCCATTCAAAATCTAATACTAGTTAGGTAGGAAATTAATAGTATTGCAATTACGATAAAATCTGGTATCCCGTTATAATACACGAGTCTAAAACTCTACGGATTTGAATTTTACCCTGTTATTTTGTTTACATCAACGAATTAAAATAATTATACTATTTCACTTTCCCATTTTCATTTTTTTTTTTTACAATGTTAAATTTCGTTAATTCAATACATTTTTTAATAACGTATTATATAATATTCTTTGAACGATTTTGATGCTCATTCTATCTCCAAATACTATATTATACTCGTATACTATTGTTTATAGAACTATATTCATATTTAATTTACATCAGGATAATACATAATATTGTGTTATTTTGAAATTTTGGCATTCCTCAACACTATTTCTTAAGAAAAAAATACTTATAATATTCCAAGGAAACCTTTTTTTTTATTTTAATAATCCAGACTCTTTATGTTTATTTAGTTTTTTTTACCTATGTTTTATGTTTATTTTGTTTGATGCATACAATTTATTCCATATAAATACATTAAATTTATCAAAAAATGATCTTAAGCAGAATTGGTTTTTAGTTACAAATACACAGTAAATTTACAGTATACAAGCTAAATCGCTCTATTACTGTATTCTTATTTTTCAACCTACAACAGTGCCATTTTTGAGTGTAGTGCTTTTTTTAAAATGTGTTTTTTTCTAGAAAATTATTTTTGGGTTATTAAAAATGCTCCGATTTTTTTGTATAACATTTCATGTTTTTCATTATTTCTGTCCAAAGGTACTTTATTTGAATTATTTTTCAAAATTTTATTATTCAATCCTTTTTTACATTTTCTTTTCTTTGAAAATTGTATATTATTTGTATTGCCTTAAAATCTGAAACCTAGTCATCCTAGAGTTAATCCTTATCGTAGGCGATGTTCTCATTAGCTCCCGGTATATACAGAAAATAGCTTCTATTTGGTAGCATAAGGTCGACCACTCAGTCTCTAAAAGGTGTGCTAATGAATCAAGATATGGTATCCAATAACGAGTCGTCATCGTTTTATATTAACCGCGAACTGCTCGGTATCAGTCACCGAGCTAAAGCACGAGTTTAGAACTGTTCTTTTAAGTTAAGCACTGATCAAATAAGGTACATAAGTAATAATAATTTTATATTAGATTTTTTTTTTTTATTTTCATTGGAAACCATTTCAATCAAATATGAATATTACAATACTCATTATCTTGTGCTGTCGAATATAACTTACAGAATAAAGAAAATAATAGTATTCTTTGTTAATGAAATAGTGAGAATTATCACTGATCCAGTTATATAACAACGGCCTGGGACGCTAATTTAGGAGGAAATTCATGTAGATCTAGAATTATTCAGAGTAATGCAGATTTTGTGAAAGCACAGAAAATCTAATTGTTTGCACATTTGGACATATATGTGATGAGAAAATTGGAAATTTGGGGACGATGAGAAATTGTGATGTTAGGTGGATAGAGGAATTTAAACAAAGATTAATAATTACTAACGATAAACGATTCTGAGAGGAATATTGTTTCTTTAAAAATATGTTTGTCATATAATAATAAAATAGATATTTATTGAACCAATTTGTATGGACCAGAAACTAGATTTGTTTTTAATTACTTTTTACTAAAACGATTTTCGTCAAAATTTGATGATTACAATTTCTATTTCCAGACCAGCCACTCCATCCCTGAGAAAGGTTATCATATTACGTTCCAAATATAGTTTGTTAAATGGTTCGACCATAAAGTAAAATTACTCTATGGGTTCAGAACAATAACTAGGTATCTTCGTAATATTGGCATGATTATCGACAATGAGATGTTAGCGCATAAATTGAAAACCACTCTCGGAGGCGATAGGGGTCTTAGAAACAACCAAAAATGCTCTCGAAACCTTAGTGAATTCGGCTGAATATGTTGGCATCATTTTTTTTGAATATCGGAAAATATTCCAGTGTTAGCGCATACATTTGGAACCTCTCCCGGAGATGATAGGTGTGTTAGCAAAATCCAAAAATCCTCTAGCAAAATCTAGGAAATTCATAGAAAAATATTGATACTAGTTGTAGAGTTCTAGCATAATTTGCCGGTGACCAACTTGATGAACATGTATCTATTACTTAATTTGATTGGTTAGGGTTCACGGTGAGGAGGAAGGTTGTTGGAGGTATAGGTTGAGGTATTTTTTCGGGTGCGAAAAAGTGGAATATTTTATAATGACTGAAAATTATGGTCCGCGTGTAGTAAAAAATTGTTGAGCGTTGCTGCCGTAAAAATAATGAGTATTTATTTTAACGGTGCCTATATAATATAAACTTACGCGTGAGATTTAACAAGACACGAAAAAATGGATTTATACGATCGCATAAACGTTACGACGATGTTGTACGCGGAAAAATCTCGCGGTAATATTATATACGCATTAGTTTTCGTTGTGGTTTTTTTTTCGGTTTTGACGTGGCCGAGTAGAGTTATTACTTTTTTGATAACGCTGTGTTGTTTTTTCTTCTGCTAAAAAAAAAAAAAAAACACCACTCGATAAGTTTTCCATATCCATCGCACTTTTATATAAATAGGTAGGTAATTTAACGTAGACGGCACTTTAAATAGATAATTTTTGCCAAAAAATGTCCGAAAAGAACGTTAAAAATGTATGGTACACGATACATATATCTACGTAAAACACGTTTGTTATAAGAAAATCTATTTTTTACACGCGAAACAAAAAACAATTCTCCTCCTCTGTTCTGCTCTTGAGGTGTTTACTTGTAAACATTTATTTTAGCATATCACTACACAACGCGCATGATATGAATATCAAAAAAGTTATTTATTTATTTTTTTTTTTTTTTGGGAAACACAAAACTTGAAAACTTCCGAAATTTAGTGGTTTTTTTCCGAGAATACTGTGTACTTACAAATACAGTTATCGTAAAACGACCTCGTTCAAACTCTCATACAGCTTAAATTGTAATTTGTGTGTTACTTTTATTAAAACTTCATATTTTAAAAAAATTTATATTTATATGATTTTTGTTGATTCTATTGATAATAATATTAGAAGGTTTAATTGATAATTATTTTATCATACAAAAAAAAAAAAAAACTGTCCTAAGTCCAACATATAGTCTTTATTGATAACTATGTTCAAATTTGTTTTTGAAATATATTTAGATTTTCAGTGTAGTGAAGAAGAGTAGCTATTAGTTTTACTAAGATGTATTCCTCCTCTCGAAAACTCACTTTTGGTTGGTAAGAATGGTTCGCCTTTTTGATGCAGTACCTTAAAAGACACGGAGTGTCTTTTCAATGGTACTTCACTAGAAATAATAGTAATAATAATAATAATAAATATGTTTGAACAAAATACCTAATATGTCTTCTTATCAGCTAAATCAAAAAATGGACGGGCACAATCAGGGATATAAGGTGTCTAAGCTTATATTTAAAAATCTAAAACCTGTCAACAAAATGACGATGTATAAGTAGGTTTTTTTTGTTAATTTTTGAACTGCTTTGACTACAACTTGCAACGGGAAGAAAATAATGACTTATACTATAATTATTTTATTACCAGTTTACCTAGCTCCGGTCAGAATCAGGTTTGATTGCAATGATTTATCGTTGTTTTCAGTAATTTTATAAAATAAATTACTTTATATCCTATACCTACCCGACTTCACACCAACAGCAATGGCCTCAGTACCCTAGTAATTACGAGGGCTTTCCTTTCCTTCTTGTAATTGTACATTGGAAAAAAACGTTCCTAAAGAAAAAGTCAGTGATTTGTGGATGACTTAGAAAATTGTGAATTCTCGGGCAAGTATTTCGACCTAAAATATATATTGTATCGAGAATATTATATCGCGTGTAGTAGATTTAAATGACGTGGATGGTATTAAAAAAAAAAAAAAATACAGGTGATCGAAAATTAAATTACATTTCGCACGCGTCAATGTGCTTTAATACTTTGTTTTCGTATACCTATGATTTTTTTTTACTTTATCGATAAATAGTATCGCGAACGAATAATTATTATTTAAAAATACATTTACACTAAAATCAGTTTTTTTTTTTATTCGAAATATTTATATTTGAAATCAATTTCGAGTAGAATATTAAAATATTAACTCACTATATTATTATTATTTATACTAGCTACAGTTTGTTGTTTGAGTTTTGAAGGCTGTTGAAGTGAGAATTGGATTATTAAAAAAAAACCATCTCTTCCCCGCTAACTGCTCAACAAAAGTGTCGTATAAAATATTATGTTATTCAGTGACGTTTTTGTCGTTTTTAAATATATGAATTATGAAAAGAAAAAAAAACATTTTTATATTATGCTGTACTACTGTTAAACAGTTTCTTCAGATAGAGAACAAGTTATTGTAAAATCGTATTACACGTTATATTATTATCGGCTTTTCCGTATTCTGCGGTGGTGGTTTTCTTTTAATTTTTTTATACCTACGTTTTTCGGGTATGAGAAGAATCTATTAAAGTTTATTCCCGCACGCATTTATCGTGGTGCGACGGGAAGTCGGCCGGGTTTGTGTACTCATGGCAAAACGTTTTGTAAAGTCCCCCGAAATCCGGGACGAAAACCATTAAATATTTCAATTCGAAATCCAAATGCGAATATTTCCCGTCGCAGTACTCGAATTTCTCGACACTAATCCAACCGTTATATTGTAGACTCACATCACACGCATATACGAGTAGTTCACCTAGTCTTTCTGCTCCGTTTCTCCATTTTGGAAATATAGTTCGTAAGTAAATTTCTTTCCAATTTAACGCACACATTCCGTCCGTTACCAATCTTTTGCGTTCTTCTTCAGTTCTGAATTCCCTATATACAGGGTGTCTCACGAAGGGTTACCCATTGTAATAACTTTTTATTTTATTGTTTTTGAATATTTTGTTAGTTATTTTTGTTCCTATTTTTTTCTATCCAATTGTGAACGTCCGTAGTTACCAACACATGGTTAAGGTTGTTAATTTAGTTGACAAGGAGATACATATTATTCATAAAATTATTATTATTATTTATTTAAATAAACATTTTTAGTAGGTATCTTATACTAAAAATAAAAAACAATTATATAAGTAGTATTTAAGAATTTAAAAATATCCTGTAAATTATTTAGAAATTAAGATTTTTAATTTATTTTAAAAAATAAAAAAAAAACACAAATAAGTATTTTATGTAAAGTAAAAAGTGTAGTACTTAATACTTTGCGCTTATTGGATTTAACGATGTCTTAATACGTAAGAATTAATACAGTTTTCGGTGTTCAATATCTGACTATACTGTTATTCGGGTACCTTAACCGAGAGGCAAGCTCTGAAACTAGTTATTGTGTGTAGTTTTTTGATCCAAAACTGTTTGTCAAATGTGTGTGAAAATTGTCGCCGGGGTCTCTGAAAAATCTTTTAAACTCGGTATAGGTACTCTCCGAATAAAAGTGTATGGAAATTAATTGTGAAAAAATTGCGATTTCATTCATGTGCGCGGTGGCCGATGAGTGAGAGGTTTCGAAAACCAATTTTATGACGGTCCTTTATCCGTATATTCGTTTTAAAAATATAACGACTTCGTCCCAAAATTTGTTTAAATTAAACTATTCGCCTTTAAACTGCAGTCATAATACATGCGTAGAAAATAATGTTTTCGAAATATTTCGAAATCTACAAGTGAAACGACACAGAAACGAGTGATGACCTAAATTTGGGTAAATTTTCGATTTCTCGATTTTCGAACAATTTATTCTTCGAGTTTTTAGTGAGGAGTTAGAGTGTTTAATTGGAAGTCTAAAGCACAAAGATATTATGCAATTGTGTCCAATACAATAAAACCAGATACAAATTATGAATACTAAACGTTTTGAGGGCAGGCCGTCAGGATTTGTACTTTTGGAGTTTCTTTTACGAAGTAAAGAGAAAAATATAGACATGTGTGGTGGATATTCACTAAAAAAATGAAAATATGGCTAGGTAGAAACCAAACAGAGATTCGCGTCAAAAATGATGGCAAAAGAGATTAAATTACCAATATCATGTATTAGTATTTTACTATTGACGTGTTTTAAACGAATATGATATCGATCCGGTTTTTGCACGTGACTAGAATCGTTTGCAAGAGTGCTAATAAAGCATTAAACCTGCCGCTAGAGGAAAAACTGGAAAATGAATGTTTATCGTTTGATTTAAACGATAATATAACACGTGATAAGTATATAGGTACTTTTAAGCCGAATGTACCCAAAAAAATTTTTGGTTACACGAGCATATTTTAATTATTTTATAATAAATATTATATTATTTATATAATTTATATTAACATCTTTGATCGTTTGCGGAATTTTAAGCTGGTGCAGATACATTATAAGAGTTACTTGTCTAAATTATTCCTATCAGTTTTGCTGAACAAATTTCCCAAATCAAGTGAACGGTAGATCGGTTGTTTTTTATTGATTTTTAGTTTCCGTGGGTAAAACTACTTACTAAATAAGTACACTACTATTGAGCTGAGGATCGTTTTTCATTGATGATTTTTTGTTATATACAGTATAATATATGGATTAAATTACCCTGAATATCCTAAACCTTTCCAACTAGCCATTTGCAACAGTGGCCCTCTCAGCTATGTTCAGAATCAATTTTGATTACAATGATTTATTGAAGGCTATACACAATTGGCGATCCTAAATTAGGAATTTATTATTTATTTAAAAAAAAAAAAAAAAATGAGCATGTTATCACATACCATGTAAGAGGGTCATTTTAGATTCTGAGCGTAGCGAGAGAGTTATTGGTTTTACAATGCTGTTTATTTCTTCTTCTTTTTTTTTTTTTGTTCTAGTCTGTGGACACGTTTTTTCCTAGTAAACTTGCTCCGATGTTTAAGCGTAGCACCTTTTCTGAAAGCTCAAGTTGTCTAAATTGTATTTTAAACAGGTCATTTTTGATTTTCGACGCTGTTATTTAAATAAAAGCATTTGAGTATCAAAAAATGTAGGAAAACGTATTTTATGATTTCAATATTTTATAAAAACATGAACAACATATTCTACCAGTAAAAATGATTTAATTGAAAAATCACAAGAAACCTTTTTAATTACGGATCTTACGGTATCATTGCCAAAGCTATTGAACTACTTTTGAGCTTTTAAGGAATTTTAATTTGTTGAAGTTTTTTGCTGTAATTCGGTAATAAATACAACCCAGAGACTTGAAACTTAGTATTAATACTTATATTGGACTTATCTAGACGTGGTAAAATGTCCAAAATCATCGGACGACTTTTTTTTTTTAATAAGCGTTTTGAAACCAAATGTAAAGGAAAATTGCAAACAGAATTATGGCACTTGAAATTATGTATTACAGAACTGCGCTCGGAATCGTCTTTCGTCAAGCAATGGTTTATCGTTGCTTACAGAAATAAATGAAATAACCTTATGTCTTCTATTTTCCCAATTTCTCACCTACAACAGTGGCCGCTCCCATCCCCAGTATCAACTCCTTTTTTTGTTTTAAACTTAATTGTTTAGTTGTTTCTGTGTGAGAATGTTGGAGTTCCCCTATGAATTTAAAAACTACAGTAATATCTTTTAGATTCTTATTGATAACACAATTTACTGAAATAATGTATTATACTATCTGTTTTCTAGTAATGATTTTAATATTTATGTTAGAATAATATTTTTACATGAAGGATAGTAGTTATAATTATGCTTTGTGTAAAAAATATAAAAATAAAAAATATGTTACGGTATTTATGTATAATAAACAATATGTACTGACCAAATATGCTAATTTATGATAGATTTTAGTATGCCGGTTATTTCCGTTTCCGAGGATTCAGAATTCTCAAGGATTTCCGAGATTTGAGCGGTGTTAGAAAAGCGTTACCTCAGCCCACATTTATTTAACAATAAGTTATAAATATAGTTTTTTTTTTTGATTTTAAAGAAAAAAAAATCAGAAAAAGAATAATATTTCATATAGGTTTTAATATTATTATTGTCATAAACTATAATCAACCAATGTTATATTTAAAACAACTTTATAGTAATTTTTCAAATGAGCGTTATTAGGTGCCAGTCCATAAAGAAATCGTTCACTGGCAGTGTGCTTTATGGAGCTAACTTTTGTAATACTTCCGTAAAAACATTGATCTTTTTTTTTTTAGGTAATCGTATTATAATAGAGGATTAGTTTTCACAAAGTTTTTTTTCGTTTTGTTCGTCAGAGGATTAACGGGGAATAGCAAAATAAATCGATATTTGCTGCAAACGTTGGATGATTGCTGTTTCAATACGGATATTAGAAAGTTTATTAAAAAAATAAACAAAAACTAAAAAAACATTAGATTTATTAATATTCGGAAAAGCTAATGTTATTGTATTATTATTAATCTCAGGATGAATGGCACTTTCGTGAACGGCAAAACGGGATTATTACTCAGCACGGGCGGTCGCCTTTGTAGACGATATTGTTGCAGGATTTCTCGTATACATATGACCGGAGGACGGCAAAAGGTACCTACGAGCCGCTTAATAAAGGTGTCGGAAATCACTAATTATATTACTTTATCTATTTATAGTCACGCATGACTCGTTTGTGTAACGGTTGAAAAGATCTTTAGAGCGGGGAAAGAGAAGCTGAAGGATTAGCAGTGTTTGTTTGGTACGTGTGTGTGTTCGTGTTTGTGTGTGATGTGTGTAACAATAATACCGGAGACGGTCATGGTGGTGACCCTATTTTAACATGAAATGCTTCGGTCGACCGTGTTCGTGGTGGTGATAACCGTAAACACGTTTCTGGTAACCCGGTGAGCGGCAATCCGACCCACAGCCGCCGCCACCACCAGGCCTGACGTTTTTGCGCCGACCGCCTGCCGCGACGTAACTGCCTGTACGGGAACGTTGCTTTGGTCCTCCTTCTCCCCTTGAAATATTACATGCTTAAACTATGTATATATATGTTATGGTCCAAGTGAAAAAACTGTTCATTGTAAACACTGACCGGGCATTGTATACAATGCACAGAATATTTGGGCAATGTAAATTAAAAAAATGTATTTCCCATATAGACGAATCATTTTATGGCAATTATTTACACAATTTATGACCGTTTTTACAATGCTAAAACTTGTGCGGTCATTGTGTTCACTTTATAATATATCTTACTAAGCGTATAAATTTGTTTCAGTATCTACCTATACCAAGTGTCAATAGTAGAAGTAGGTTGACAATTGGTTTTGATTTTGATGTACTGGTAGAACTATAATTTATTATGCACGTAGTCTAAACGCGTTATCGCAATTTTTAGCCGGACAGCTTATCGCAATTATTAGTGAACGTTTAACGTTAGTACGGTTATACCTTGGTGCTTTAGATTTTGCATGTTTGTATTGTTGTAAAAATGGAAAATAAATTCATTGATCGTTTGAATAATGTTTAAATTTATGAAACATAATGGTTGTCAATATTTCATTATTTAATTTTAATCAAACGCTATAATATTGACAATCCATGAAATAATAAATAAGTGTTTGATTACAAACCTAATTGTTGTGTTATTATTAATAATTCTCTACAACAAGCTGAGCATATTATTAAACATTTTTGAACTTGGTACTGACAGTATTGGCCGTTGTATATAGTTTTTAGTTAATGTATATAATTATCCACATGACTTGAACAACATAGGCGTTGTATACAACTCTTGGTCAGTATTTACAATGATCATTTTTCCTCTTGGACCGTAACATATTATATAATATTATTTATTATAATATTATACATACATATTAACGTTATTAGTGTATGGGTTAGTCGAAAATTAGAGGGAAGAAGGAAGACAGAGAGAGGAAGCGGTAGATTCGATCTGTGGTTAACACAGTTTGTCACCAGACGAACGGTTATTACCTCCAAATTGTGCGATGCGTCGTGGCGAGTTGCTGAGTTTCTGGGTCGTATACGCAAAACCCTCGTTTGACACGTTTGACACTTTTCGTCGATATTTGACAATATTTTGTATATATTGTATAATGTTCATATTTTACGAGTCATATAATCGATATTTACTATTATCCATATCGAAACGTTAAGTTTATTTTTTGAATGAATATGTTTTATTTTTGAAATCTCGATTTAAAAACGTAAGTGGCTCTTATAGATAAAGTATATTTACATAGATACTATTTTATAATGTTTGAAAAATTCAAAATCAAATTCACTGGAATTTCTATACATATATAATCGCTGGTTCACAAAAAAAATCACCTTGTTTAGTCGTTATTCAAATTCCGTGAAGGTATTTGTCATATTTGTTTGAATTGACAAAAATGGCATCGAGTACAGGGAAAAAAACCAAATAAAACATCGTCGACAATGAGCATTCCTATATCGAATTTTTATTATACGTAGTAACCAAGGAAACAAGTCAATCAATCAACAATAATAATAATAAAAAAAAACAATTTATACTTTTATACAAAAAATGTAAGTTTTACGTTTATAAAGTTTGTATTTATGATATTTTATATTTTATTAAGAAATCGAATTGATTAATTTTGTGCATGTACAGAACAATACTTAATTATACTTTATTTTGGTTGACTATCTGACCTGAATATCAGTCTTTCTATACATTTGTTTTAAGCTTCTTAAAAAATCTATCTGCTCTAATCTATCCCAAAAACTTGAGAGTAATCATAGTTGTACAATATACCTTTCTCCTTCCCATTTAAAATCGAGATTAAAAATGTGGCATCGACGTTAATTGTTACACCCCAAGTTATAGTACATCTAGTAACATTTTCAGTTTTGTGGTTTTTGAGAAAATAGTATATAATATAGTTCAATTTGAACTAAAAAAAAAAAGTTTCATGTATTTGGAAAATTTTTTTTTCGTTTGTAATAATTTTATCCTTGCGTACTGTGTATTTACAAATCGAAATTGGGCTTAGGATTTATCTAACTAAATATAACAAAAACGGAATTTAAAAAAAAAATACATATGTTTCTTTCTTTATAATTTAAAATCCATTGACTAAATAATCTCGCATCACTAAGGAGATCGAATCTTCGCCAAAAACTTCGGGAAAATCACCGAATGACCAAATAAAACCATCATGCCGTTATACCTAGTAATCATCACGAACAGATTCTCGTCCGACGAGAAAAATAATAATATATTGGATCAAATACATAGGATGGTTTATCATATAATGTGATTTATTTTTTAAGTGTAAATATTATGGTTTTAGTGTAGGTACGTTTTTAAAATATCTTATTGGCGTGACTATCGTTAAATATTCCATCTCGAAAGTATAAGTCGATTTGAAATTATGTATTCAATTTGCATTAAAACACCTTAAGATAACCCGCGTACATTTTGCTTACCTTTTTTAAATTAATATATTGGATAGTCGTTCACTCGATTACATTCGTAATATTCCGGAATTTAAATTTTCTGTATTAAGTTTAGTAATGGTTCCTAAATTTTATCATATTTTGATAGGTAATTATTTTAAATTGTAGGCAACTATATCTTAATAAGTTGTACAATGACGTTTATTTATTTACTTTTTATTTTTTCTATAAACGCGACTTAGGTTAACTTCTATAGCCTAATTTCATTCTCGTGAAAATATTATGGATACCAATGAAATTTTCCCGGAATATTACATTCCGGATTTGTATAGTCCTTTGTTAAATTCATTGATTTTTTCACTCAAAAATTGGTAAATCAGAAGCAGCAAACAATTTCGATTTTCTTACACTGTCATTATCAACTTTGGAATTACCAAATTTAAAGGTTTCGCTCTTCGTGTTTTATTTTCGTAAAGTTTTACGAGGAGCGACGAGAACGTGTTTATAAAACTAGATATTGGATAATTTTGAAAAACGACCTCGGTAAAGTACCGTGACTGCATGTCGATGGGAAAAAACTTTGTGCATGTTTAGCGCCTCGAAAAGTATTTACCGCGAAAATAAAATAAAACAACCCACACGTTTTCGTCGCGATGAAACTATAATAATAGCTTTCTCGTTTGGTTTGGAAACTAAACCGTGAAATAAAACCCTCTAAACGCGATTATTATAAATATACGACAATCCCTCAAATTATTTAGTAATATCATCTCGTCGGTGTTATTTTTACGTGTACACAGAGGGATTTTTTTCTTCACAAGCGAGCAAATATTAAACAGAGATTTCGACTATGATTTTGGTGTTTTGTCGAATTTTACCTGAAAAAAGATTATTAAATTGTATTGTGTTTATTATAATATATTATGATACATGATAATATCTATATTTTTTTTTTTACATATTTGCTAATTTTGGACACTTATATAATGGATTATTCTGGACCAATTATAAACTTAAAATTGAAAACCATTATTATTATTAATTATTTTACAGGTGGATGATGAAATAAAATCCCATAATTTTTTGCTGTTGCATGTGGTTGCAGGAGACAATGATTTAATTTTTATCTTAAAAATTCATACCGAAACTCCCAAATGATGATAGTACAATATTTACAAAAAGCTCTAGATTTATATTTGAGTAAACCAATTAATTGAATAGGGGTAACCCCCTTCCGTTCTCTTCTGTAATTTCTCTTCTGATCATGCTAATAATCACAGCTTTATTACGGGTTGAGGAAAAAATTTAATTCATGTTGTTTATTGAACCATAAACACTATATTTTAGGTTTAAGTACGGATTAGTTACTGAGAAATGTGGAACAATTAATAATAAAAAAGAATAGTAACAACTCCATTATTGATTGCTAGGTCACGTATTTTTTAAATGTATAATGTGTACTTAGAACGGTCACTTGTGTTTCATCCGGTAAACAAATGTGTTCTTAAATAGGTAATTGTATTGATTACATTTTTAAACCCTCTTGGTGTTGCAGCGAGTTAATGAGTTGCTTCTCAATCGGAGGTTAATGAGTTTGAATACAACCATTTTGTTCAACCATTTAGTTCAAATATTTTGTGTTATATTTTATGTTTTCTAAACTGTCTCTTACCTGACGTGGTTTTGCTAACAATACGATGGTGTCTGACAATAACAATAATCAAATTTACTAGATATTTTCGTACACAACCGCTGTTTCCTAAATCGGAATCATCCTGTATAGCCATTCCGAGAAATGAAAATTATGCATTAGATTGTAAATATTTTTACACATCGGTTTAATATACGAATATTGTAATGAGAATATTATTTGTTATCGAAATTATACCGTTTATACTAAATTTTGTAATGATTTATTTTTATTCATAATACTAGCTCCAGTATTGAATTCAACATTTTTTTTTTCATTAATCATTTTTATGCAAAATATAACGAGCTTCATATATTTAATAAAATAAATATATTTTATTGACAGTTATATCATTTTATTAAAGGAATGAATGAAATTCCAGATGAGGGACATTTGTTCCTCCTTTTGGGGTATACTTGGATTCAACACTGACTAGCTAGTATCTAGTTTAGGTTCGATTGTTCAGAAACAAACAATATACCTGAAATATACGTATATCTACATAGTATTTGTTATGGTAATGTCTTAGAGTTAAAATTTCTCTGCCGTATAATTAATATCTTTTACATCGATACCACTCACAAATGTCAGGAAAAACTCTTCTGATTAAATCATTAGTAAACAATGTACATAAAGTGAATTCCACCCTTCAATTATATAATCTGTATTCATTTGTAACCATCGTCAGCCAGAATATTAAATATGTTTTTTTATTTTTGCCTATTTACAACCAAATTAACTAAGTGTATAAACATAGTATATATATTCAAATTATAATTTTTTAAATTTAGTTGTTGAATTAGGGTGGTATTTTTTTTTATTTTCTTGTAGTTTTATTAATAATTGAAAAAATCCGCAAAAAACGTTAATTTAACAGGATAATTTGTGTAAAAACGGTATTTGTTATATTTGAAATTTTGATTCAAAACTTATATTAGCCTTTTTTAAACACGGCGACAATTCTGAATTATTTTTAACGTTTTTTGAGCTATTAATAGTCATATATGTATATTGCATATTCCAAGAATTTGTTTGTTTGTTTTGTACGGAAAGAAATTATTTTGTGATTTATTTTTACAAACGTTCAAATTATTTGTAGAGAAATTTATATAAAACCACGGAAAATCGTAATTTATTTTGAAGTTATGAATCAACGTTACCATTATATAAATTATATTAAAACATATTAAACTGAACCTTGCCTGGAATCGTTTTTATTTGCAATGATTATTATCGTCGCGTACAGGTATAAAAATTAAATCACCCTATACTTAATTATATATTATATTCCTTCCTAACTTACCGCCTACAACAGAGGCCTTCGCACAGCGCGTAGTATGTTGGATTTTTATATAATTATAGTATGTAGAACGTAGATAAAATAAAAAAAATAATACTTTAATACCTCATATGTTTTATATTGATTACTTTTGCAATTGAGCCGCTGGTTTGTCGTATGTATGAAAATTAAGCCATTGCGTCTGTACCATTTTGTGTGTACATAATATTCCCGATTACCGTTACGTAAATGTATAATATATATTATATATAAGGTTAGGTTAGGTTAGGTCATATATATATAATATCGAGAATTTATACAAATACAAATAAATCAGAAATATACGTCTAACATTTCAATAATAATATCTGCTGGTGACGGATGAATTATTGGATTTCGTGAATGGTGCAGAAATATTTCGTGATTGTTGTAGTAATAATAATAATAATA